AGAAAGCCAGCAAGACGGTGTCTAGCCTAGCATGAATTATGACCAACACTATGGGACCAAGAACAAAAAAGAGATGAGTTCTTCTAGAAGCAGTCCACTTGGTACTGATTTATGGAGCGGAGATATGGGCAGACATATTAAATCAGAAGATCTACCGGCGAAAAATCGCAGCAGTACAGCGGCGAGGCGCTCTCAGGGTTGCCTGCGCCTACCGCACAGTTTCCGAAGCGGCTGTATTGGTCATGGCGGGAGCCACGCCCATCGACCTACTCACGTTTGAGAGAGCAAAACTCTATGACGCTTAAAACAGTGACGAAAACATGAAGGACGCAAGAACGAGGATAAAGGCGGAAACGCAGCAAGAATGGCAGGACTGATGGACATCGGGAGAGATGGGCAGATGGACGGCGTGCCTGATCCTAATCATCAACGTCTGGCTTTCTCGGAAACAGGGGGACACGGACTTCTTCCTGACCCGGCTATTGACGGGACATGGGTAGTTCAATGCCTATCTTTTCAAGATGGGTTTGCACAGCACACCGACGTGCAAATATTGCCCAGACAAAATTGACAACGCCGAGCACACGTTTTTCGAGTGTGATCGGTCGAAGGACGACAGAAGCAGCACTGAAGAAACAATAGGCAACACGCTCTCCCCTGAGAGCTTGGTAACCTGCATGATCAAAAAGGTAGAAAACTGGTCAGCTGTCGCAGCCTACGCGCAGCGTCTTTTAAAAGAAAAAATTGCAGAAAGGGATTAGAAACCAGTAGTCACAAGAAGTAGGCGTCGTGAGACGCAACATGGACTGGATTGAAGTAAAGCTAACGCGGTTCCGTTCCAGTCATCTCCGTACCATCCACGGGGGAAGAGAGAGGTGTTTTTTTCTAGTGGGTAAAGATCCCACACTACCGACCATCATCTTTCAATGATAGCGGTGTCTTTCGAAGATTTTTTCCGCTTCAAAAAAAAAAAAAAACAAAAAAACAACACACACACACACACACACACACACACACACACGCGCGCGCGCGCGCGCACATGCACACACATAGTGACAACATCGCAGGGGTAGTTAGGAAGCTTCCTGTAACCTTAAAACGTCGATATCTGATGACAACTCGATTTTCGAAAAACGGGATAAAACCAATAACTTCCCGAATTTTGAAAATTTTCAATTTTTTTAGCGGGAAGTTATAAAACTAAAGAATGAGCCTTTTTTCATAGATTTTAGTCCTAAAAAAATATTAAAAATCAAAATTTCAATTTGGTTGTAGTTCGGGCCATAGCTACTACTGTGCAGAATATTGAATTTAAATTTCATTAACATCGGGTCAGTGGTTCCGAAGATATCATGCACGTAAACTAGAAAAACATAGTTCTGAGATATACGTGTTTAAAGTTTTTTTAATAAAAAATTGCGCCAGTTGGCCACACCCGCGATAAAAAGTTGATTTTGTCTTAAATATAAGATAAATTATTCAACTTATGTTCGTATTATTCACAAGCACTGATAATGCATGTTTGTTTTTACGAAGATCGATTGAGAATTTTAAGTTCTGCGTCACACTTAAGTTGTGTTACGTTTACCCTACTTGAAATTGATTCAATGTAGCTTTCAACCTCCATAAAATTACTAAAACTCATTGAAAAATGACAATATCATAATTTATATGAAAGGGAATTATATAATCTATAATCTAAATTTATCAGAAATAAGCTATCTCTTCTCAATCAGAAATAATATCCTAAGAAAGCCATGGAAATCGCGATTTTCATAGTTTTAAAAATTCTAGATGGCTACCATTTCTAAACTAATCAACCAATTTTGCTCATTTTTATACTCGTTCAAGGTTAGTTACTCACCCAATTAGTACACTAAATTTTTATGAAGATTGGTTGAAAATTATAGGCGCTATTCTGATGACAAGGCCAGTTATATTACACATATATGTACATTAATTTTTTAACCAATGGTATTTTTGGAACCTATTTGACTAATTGAGACTTATAGTAGCAAAATTAGCTGTAAATTTCTCCATGAGGACAAATACAATAGATTGATTTTCACACAATCTGCCTAAAAAAACAATCTTACCTCAAGTCAATCAGCGAAACTGCGTTGGCAAACGCGGAAAAAACTAAAATTTTTGAGCTTTCAAATCTTTGATTGATGTTTTCAATATTATAATTTTCCACTCGAAAGTAACCTCTAAGAATCATTAAAAAATTTGGGAAATTTTCTGTTCTCACATTTTTTGTGAAAAGTGAATGTTTCAGTAAAAAAATTTCCTTCTATTAATCCAAGATATGTTTAATACTTAGATGCAGATCGCTTAAAAAATTAATTTTATCTTCCAACCGTCTAATTACTGTACCAGATGCAATTCACCTACTAAATGATTTAGATCAACTAGACTTGCGTGATAATCCTAATCTCATTATGCCTCCAAAACCTACGGAAGTTGAAAAAGGTTCTGGTATTGAGTTTTACAATATTGATTTCTCTTTACAACACCAGCTACGACTTGCGGGAGCAAATGTTCCACCACCTATACAAACTTCAGGTATGTTTTCTATGTATGAAAAATTAGTATGTTAGAGAAATTAAGTATAATTAGTTAGGAGGCAAACTGTACTCCCGAACGAAACTCTTTCAAGTTGTCACTGTCTTTTTGTCAATTTTTATTTCAGATTTTTATTTCATGCTCACAAGTATTGAAATACCTTTTTCATTATTATTTTCAACAACATAATCTTTAGTTGACAGCCTAGTTGGCGTTGAGCTGCTCCTTTCGAAGTTAAACGTAATTTAGAGTGGTATGATAATACCAGATTATTTCCTATTGTCAGAGATCAGAAATTTCGGGATCCCCTTGTGGAAGTATTTCTCTAGAAAAGCTGAGAATAATTTTTTACATAAAAAAAAAAAAAATTTATAATCATTGTGACGTTATTTTTTTGATAGGGATCTATGCTATAATTGAACGAAACTAAAGCAGAGTCGTATAAAGCTATCTTTTCTTGCCTCTAGTGATAACTCAAAATTATTTTATTTGGTTCTAGTTTATAATTAATTTAATTATGATGATCGATAAAGCAGGTATTCTGGATATCAAGTAAGGCTTTAGGTAGGGATACAGTAGAGTAGTTGATATCACGTGGTATAGTCGCGGTATAGGGAAGGGATATCGACCCGAGCGATCACCGTCGATCCCGCGAACAGGACACTCGCGTTTCGGCCTTTGCCGCGTAAAGTCACACTTGTGGTTCGGCCTTTGCCGAGTAGAGTTAAACTTGCGTTCCGACTTTTCCCGAGTACAGTCGCATGCTACAGTATATAGCAGAGAGTCGTTGGCAACTTCTTTTTTCAGCCATCTTGGGTACAGTTTTGTTGTACTAAAGGCTTCGATTATACTACGGCTATTATTATTGTTTTAGAATTTGATATTTAAGCTACAGTATTTTATATTTTTGGGAAGAGTTAGTTTGAAGTTAGTTAATTAGAAGGTTAAAGTTGAGTGAAGATTAAGTTGGCGTCTCGAGCTTGTGGACGAGTCTGCCTTGCTGTGGATCGAGACCTTGGAGTCACCCGGCCTCGTAGATGTTAGGAATCTAGCCCTCTGAGATTCCCGGTGATTTTTAAAAGTCTGACTGTAATGTCAGCGCTCCAGTATATGGGATTTGGCTGAGGCTCTGGAACCGGTATGTCGCGTATGGCATTTTTAATTTTTAATTGACTACGACGAGGATTGACCAACCTCGCCGGGAGTCAGCACCTGGTCAGAGTACGGTACGGGTAGCAGACCACCAAAGGCAGCTGACCATGTCAGCGGTGGAAGCCAATGGTCATTTTTAAGTATTTTTGAATTTTTTTTTATGGTTCCATCCAAAACCAATCCTAGGAGAAGTAGTCACCAAGATATCCTTGCTCGAGGAACGGTTTGGTAAAAGTATGTTTTAGTTTCTATGTTTATTTGATCGTGGGTTAATTTTAAGGACGTTTAGGTACGGTTATAGAATCAGTTTAGTTTGGGATATGTTTTTTTAGTAAACTTTAGAGTTTAAGTTTAGTTTGGGGTCTTATTAAGTATTTTGGGTTTTGTAAAGGTCGTGAGGGTGATTGAGTTTTATTACGGGTATGATTGAAGCTCCAGGTTATATTTTGAGTTATCACGCTTCATTGAAGTTTTAGTTAATTATTAATTCTGTCTGTAACTTATTTAGTTATATTTTTGTAATCTATAAATATTACAAAAATATAACTAAAAATATAACTATTATGATTTTGTATCGAGTCTAGTTTATTATTTGGTTATTTGGTTTTGTTAATAAATCAAAAAATTATATTTTTTTCAAAAATTGTACTTTGACGACTCCTACCAGTGAACCAGTGCGAGTTACACAAAAAAACTTTAAGGCTTTTTTGAAGAGCGTGAAATTCCCCACAAGGTCCATCAAACCGATTTGCAATATTGTAAAAGCCGGCTAAGCATTAGAAATTTGAAAAAAAAAAATTTTTTTTACATGCATTTTAAATGGTAAAACTTTAAATTTTTATTGTAAGTACTTAAAATTAATACTAAGAGCTCAAACTTGGTAGGAATTTTTTTTTCTATATGTAGATTAATATTTTTCATGAGCACCGAAAAAAAAAAAAATTTTGCGGAAATGAGTCACCCTAATGTTTATGTAGTATTTTATTGTAAATTATATATTAGTTATTCACGCACATACCTCTACAGCTAACGGAATATTCATCTTCTGATAACCTTCGGGTTTAAGATGATGAGGAGTCAATTTATAAGCCATTTTTAAATTAGCTTTTAAATAATTTTCATATTGTAACAGAGCATTCCAATGTTTTTTTTTAACGATTCCATCCGGAGTCTGTGAGAAACAGTATAAAATTTACTTTAGTTTATCGACATTATAATTTTTTAAAACCAACAATTTTTAAATATTACCCAGAAGGCAGACTGCTCCATAATTTTATTTCTAAAATTTTTCAATAAATGAGGGAAATCCGAAAAAAAACCATAAACGTCTTGAAAAATTATATGGGTGCTCACAACTATAGTTGCCATCTTGTATGCCGAGCAATTTCCATACACCGCGATTCCATTGTGCTGCATCTGATACAATTCCGTCCACATAAAAACCAGCTTTCTCAAGCAGAATTGTACATTCCAAAAGTAGTTTCTGAAGAATTTCACTAGTCACTGAATCTTTACTTAAAAATTGGCCAACAACTTGCCCTGAAAGGGTTGAAACATAAAAACCAACGCATGGTCAGCTCTAGTGTGTCTTAAATGGTCAGGCGTGTATTCCCCAAGGTCTACGAAACCTTCCAGTTTTAATGTTTTACGGTTTAATGCAATGCCTTCGCTAAGTGCTATCTCGTCGACTGACAATATACCTACAAAATATGTTGTTATGTTTAATTAACATGGAAAAAAAATAAAACAGATAAAAAGCGTACCCACTTCTAATAAAGCTGAAACTACTAGTAAAAGAGTATAAGTTATAAAATAAAGCTGTCAACAAAAAATTAATTAATAGCGAGTTAATCTTTTATCCTTATAGCGCATTAATTATAGAAGCGAGTTAATTTTTATAGCAACATTTATTCATCAAATATCAATAATGTTCTTGTTATTTCTTATAAGTTAGTATTAGTAAAAGTGTACTGGAAATTGTTAGTTAACTACTCAACAGTAAGAATTGTGTATTAAAGTACCCCTTTTTTGATAGACTTCCATACGTGAACCTTTGAGTTTCAGTGTGTCAAAAATCGCCTTGGGAAACCCAAAAGCGCTATCGAGTTTTTGTATATATCTCATCAAAGTATCCTTACATGGTAAAGGGAGGATATTTTTTTTTCTAATGTGTTCATACAGAGCACTACTTTTAATGCTCATTAACAGGCATTCATACACCCACTCAACGGAATACCGGCGTTGTTTAGCACTCTTAGCTTTTGCAGCCAATAGACAATTTTTAATAGTTTCTTGCTGTAATGCAGGTAAATCAGCAATTTTTTCAGATAGAACTTCCTCTTTTATTTCAGCGCATTGATTTTTTAAATCTAATAATTGTTGCTTTAAATTTTTATTCTAAAAAAGAAATATTCAAAAATTTTGAGAAAATATATCGCGTTTCAGTTGCCATAAGGGCGTATACCGGCAAAAGGTCCTGGTGAAAAACCATAAGGGCATATAAAAAATTTTTTTTCGGAATCGACGTAGTTTTGTCCGAAATGTGGAGAAATGCTAAAAATAATTTTTATATGCCCTTATGGCATCTGTAACGCGATATACAAACAATTTGAAATGATTACACCAGCGTCAAACGTTGAAGATCAACAAAATTAATCGTATTTCGTTATTAACTATACCTATTTTTTTATACAAAATTATTTCCGATTATTTCAACTACATAAAATTGAAGTTACAGCCTCTGTAGATTTCTAATATATTCCACAAAAAACTAAAGTGACCATTTAACGGAAAGTGGTATACTTTATCGTTCGAAAGTCCGGCGAGAGCCCAATTTTTTTATAAGAGAATTAAAACATTTACCAGAAATAAACAAAGTAAATTATAAGTTGATAGAGTGATCCGGAAATTTACTTTTGTAATTTAAAAACGTTTGCGAGGTTCGAAAGCCATAGATTGAACGAAGTGTCTACTCCGATTTATGTTTGAATTATATTTGGGACTTACAAGAACAGTGATATATTTTCAAGTATACGTGACTGAAAAGGATTATTTTCAATTCATAACTATTTTGAAGTTACAGAAATTTCACAAGAATATAAAAAAATGTCTAATTTTTCAACAACTGTTGTATATAAAGTTTTAAACTTCAAGCACATTCATAAATTCATTACGCATTTTCAAATTCACAGTGTTTGAAAAGCCTTATTGCATGTGAATTATTAGCAACTAATATTTTTTAATTGCAAGATGTTAATTTGGAATTAGATGAAAACAAAACTTTACCGTGTGAACAACTCGATTGAGCTTTCTGCGTTGTAAAATATAGCGATGCTTAAAACTCATCCATCGAGCTTCATTATTTGTTGTTTCCGTTTTACGTTTTTGGATCAAACGTCTCAATTTTCGACAAGTAATGCATCTGTATTCCACAACTTTTCTTTTATATCTTTCCTCCGGCAATAATATACCTGTACTAGTGACTGAACATCTATAAAAATAAAATATTAAGATTTAATTACATGTTAAACACGGTACTTAAGATTTTAATTACTAAGTAATAATAGCATTAGTTATTATAAATTAATGTATATAAATTCATGGTTACTTTTTGTCATCGTATCCAGTTCCACTACAGAAAAAGGTGTTTTCTAAAGAGTTTAATAACTGCCAAACACAATCAATTGACGAAATATTTACATCCATATCAATAAGGATATTCGTTTTGGCATTCACGATCTGTAACGTAAGAATAACTTTTTGATACCATTCAAATAATTGTTTCCAGTTAAGCTTCTTACCGTAACTTTTAGATCTTTATGAATTTTTACGTGACAAACTAATTCTAATTTTAAATTTATATATGATAATGAAATATATGAATCTTTAATGACAGTCCAACTCCAATTTTTACGTAGTGGCTGAACTTCTAAGATTTTTTCTATAGAATGAAACGAAAACTTTTCGGGCTCATTTGTGATCACCAAATTATCACTATTAACCAAATTATTTGTACCAATAGAAAAATTTGTGTTTGTAGAATTTTTATTGTCAGGCTCAATTACTTCGTTTATAATTTCATTTACGATTATTGACTCAATAGACTCTATAGAATTTAGACTACAGTCAACAATTATATCATCGTTAATTATACCAGAGGTATTTGAACGAACATCATCTGATAATGAGCTGTAATTATTTTCATTGGTAGTCACATTGGATTGTGGTATAGCGTTCTTCTTCAAATGAACTTTTTCGTATTAATAAAAATATATACTCCCATCTTTTAGAACCTCTTGATTACTTTTTATAACATCGTTTGGATTAAAATGTAATTCGCAAATAAAATTGGTATTTTTCAATTCTTTGCCAAGAGCAGTGCTCCATTTGCTGAGCATTTCAATATCCTTTTAGAAAAAAATATTAAACTAAAATAATTACTTCTATACACTGAGAAAAAAAAATACTTTTGCTCAATCAACAATTTCTTGGCTCAAGAAATTCGCTGACGATCAAATATTCTATTATTATTAATTATTAATTTCTTAAGAGAAGAACATCTATATTTATCTTTGGATAATAGATAAACAAAAGAATAGCTTTATTTAAATTAAGTTAAAATTACTTCACCCAATTCAACAATTTCTCGAGCTAAGAATATATATTTTTGAAAATTTTCAAGAACATAAATTCTTGCATCAAGAAAATTTTCTTAATAAAAGTATTTTTTTTTCTCAGTGCACTACACAAGAAAAATAAAAATATAACATTTTTTAAATATTATTATTTAAAAACTACACTAATGTAATAATCAGTTATTTATTAACATAAAATTTTTAACATTATTTTGAGGTTACTCGCTTTTGGTGCTTTGAATAAAACCACCTTTCCTAAATGCTCACTTGCCTTTCGGCCACTAAGGCAACCATCAACGGCACAACACTTTCCCATTTTTTTATAAAAATAATTCTAATAAAATAAATTAATATTTTATATTTAATTTAATTTATTTTTTTACATGGACGAGCCAGGTTAGCCAGTCCGTATTTACGTGTAATAATAATAATAGCATCGGTACCTCCTAAATACTCGCGCAGCCAGTGGCAAAAAAGAGAACTATGATCTGGGTCGATTATTTGTGTACATAAATAATGTGAAAAATCCTATACCGTTCGGACTCCTTGTATCTATACTTCGTGGGTCCAACGGTGATCGACGTGGTTTTTCAAGGTTAAGAGCTGATTAGTTTTTGGAAGTGATCGGTGAAGCCATTTAGTAGATTTTTTGAAAAAATATTTTTTTTGAAATTTTTCGTTTTCGATATCTCACGAACGAATAAACCGATTTTGACCGGTCCAACGGTGATCGACGTGGTTTTGCAAGGTTAAGAGCTGATTAGTTTTTGGAATCGATCAGTAAAGCCGTTTAAAAGTTATTCCAAAAAAACCATTTTTCGAAAATTTTGTTTTTAAGATTTCTCAAAATCTAGCAAATCGAATCGATTCAAATTTTCACGAAATTTAATGGCAATGATACTCTTTGGATCGCCACCTATTTCGATCCGATCGGCCGAGCCGTTCAAAAGTTATAAGAGGTTTACACACACACACACACACACACACACACACACACACAC